TTGTTCGGCCTACGAACCATCATGGTCTTGAGGGACTTGACCAACCATGATGTTCGATTAAGTCAATACCATCGTTATAAGATGAGTATGATTCGATGATATACCCTCGAGAGACTCGACCGATCATACCATATCCTCAAGTCACCAGTGACATCTCTATATTGTATGCAAGATAGCGAACCACGATATAGGTGAGCCTCGAGGGACTTGAATAACTCAACCTACGTCAAGATTCGGTCCCTACCTATAATAATGGAAGGCCACATGGGTCAATTTAATTGTCTTATGTTTACCGACTTAATATTATCGAGAGAGGGGATTTTGATTTAGTCTCCTAATATAATATGTCACACACATACATATTTAATATATATCTACATCACATACAAATATATATACATATCTATTAGGAGTACAAGTAATCACACATCACATAAGCAATCACACAAGATGATTATGGATCATAGTCTAATGTGATCAGGCTAAGCGAGTGGGCCTAATCACTCACATCAAGATCTATGTGTGCAGCGGTGCATCTCTATGCCTTGTGATCATCCATCTCATTCTCATTGGTTCCATCGGCATCTCAACACATCTTGTAGGTGGGCACCCCCGCGGACGACTCTACTTATAAGCGCAGCGCCCACAGGCGTCGCTACCCCTATAGGCAACCGGTTGATGCTCGCCAGCCACTTGCACGCAGGTGGCTAGGCCTCAGCCATGATTGTAAGCAGCCATTGGCTAACCTACAAGGGCAGTAACAACTGTTGCCCTATCTCACATTTTGCGCTAATGATTTTGACGACAAAAGGCTTCCCAAAACATAACACAGACAGTTCAAAACTAATATTTCATACGAGCAACCTGGCTCTGATACCACTATAGAAAAATTTAAGGGGTGACATCACATGCGCAATGGAAGAACAAAAAATAAAAATCTTTAAATTTTTAAAAATATGTTCATCGTCGTGCGAAGATTGGTGCGCAAAATTTGTAAAACTAAAAACTGCATATATGAAATATTGTGTTTTACCTAGGGAGATCGTATATTCCTGAATCTTTGCAGATCTGTAGGAAAGGATGAAAGAGGTCAAGCGTCCTCCTTTCTAGCAGTAATCCACATAGTAGGGCTACGACAACGCTCCTCAAATCACTGTCCTAATCTACATGCCTACTATCTGAGGAGGAGAAGGGGAGAGGAGAATAGGAGATGACAACCAAGAGAAACTCTAGCCTATGAACCTTTAGTTCCCTCTTATTTATAGAGGCCCCTTGTCAACTAAACCCTAATGGATCCTACCTTATTGGGTATTGGATCTCCATCCAACTACCCAAGCCTCTTAGATTAGTGGATCTCTATCTAATAATCTCTCATTGGCTCTTGGATCTCATCCATAGGATCCAATAATTCAGGGGCTTATTAGATATTCAATAAGATAGGGGCTTCGACGGATATCTCATATCTGAACTTCTACTCATCGCAATGCCTACCATATGTGTGTGACCTTCTAGGCCCAATATCGAGCTAGCAGTGAGTCATACCTATCATGACTCATTCTGGCTCAATGAATTATTATCTTCATAATAAATCACTTGACTCATCGACCGCGGACATACTAAGCCACTACGTCACAGTCCTCAAACGATACAGAGGAATCCAATCCATTGGACTTATCTATCGTTAGTTACAATGTATCTATAGTCCCTTATCCATTTAATACCCTAATGACTGTATACTAGGCATGGTAATTTTATGCCCATACAATTTCTACTCAAGCCTTGCTCTAATCGGATTCTTTCGGAGAACTCTTTCTCTCTCAATCTGAATGACCCTAGCTAGGGATTTGTTTGAGCAAGAACATATGGGATATTCCTCTCATAACACCGAGAGTAGATGATTCTCTATCGACACTCAATAGCCCTTATAAGGTTGGTTACCACTCCCGATGATCGGTTGTGCTAGATCTGAAACCTTCGAACCTATAATTCTGGTATCAAAGAGTGAAGTACTCATACAGAACATCCTTGGTGTCTCAAATCTAAGAAGCAGATACATCACTAGAACTACGAAATTGTTGTCTAACAATAAGACATCATCAACCATCCATCATTCAATGAGCGGATCAATCAGTGAATTCATTCTCCAATGAGCACCCGCACTATATCCTAGTGTCCCCACACGAGCAGCTATGAGACCAGCCATCTTCATCATATATGGGTATACAGTATATCAGTCTATCCGGTTATCTCGATGTCCCTCTCGAATAAGCTATGATTTAGATTATTTAGGGTATGTGTTTAAATGTGATTGGTTTGTAGAGCATCTATGACTAGCAAGCTTAAAAATGCATCATGCACCCTTTGGATATTTAGCCCAAGAATGCATCAGGCACCCTTTTGATGTTTAGCCCAAGAATAACACATCAAGTGCTCTTGTATGCCTTACCTGAAAAAGGTTCATCGGCTATTATTTGGTTTCTTAGCCTAAGAAAAAAATATCTAGCACTTTTGGATGCTTAGCTCGAGAAAAACATATTGTATTGTTCAAATGTTTCTATCCTCCAAGGATGTATCATACATTGTAGACTTTTATATCATCAAAGAAACGTGGTTTGATACTCTTTAAATGTATTTGTTCATGAAGAACACATTGGATACTTTATATGTTCTTATCCGTTATGACACATTGTATCAATACACTTATCCACAAAAGACGCTTGTATACTTTAAAATTTTTTTTTTTTTCACATAAGACGCATCATATATAAATGTTTTATATGCTCTGATCCACGAAGGATGCATTGACCTAACCCTCCATGGGCTCAGTGCATACATCAAAACCTGCCTCTGCTCGGTTGTTGGCGCCGAACAGCAAATATGAGACCAGTCTCGATCGAGAACTAGATGGGACCCACACATAATTTTGATCAAATTAATATAATTAAATAATATAAGGAATTAAAGATGGTATGATCAATTTTGAAGTTGTCGTAATATTGAAACCTTATAATAGTGGTTAGTTCTTAATTAGTCAGCATCTATATTCAACATCATCATCAAATCCTCCTGAATTCCCTATCAACAATAAATAAAATAAAATAATCCTCCTACGATATGATTAGAAAATTATTCAGCCAATCCACATTCTACGAACAATTGGTATCAAACGTGGGAACAAACTTCAATAGGAGAGAATAATTTATGAGCTCACCGGTGAGGAAGATCAATTCTTGCAGTAGTCGAGTAGGGTTAGAATATTGGATTTCTAATAATATGGACCGTGTGAGTCCTATCCAAACTTATTTTATGTTAATGTTATATCATATCATATTATATTACATTATATAATTTGATATTATTTTGATATTATTTAGCATATAAAATTTGAATATGCAGCAGTCATGTGTTGTAACACTCTCACTTGTCGACTTTTATTTCTTTGTTTACCTCCATAAATTTTAGTCTAGAATATATATTAATTTAATATTAATATATTTTTCATTAAAATCCATCCAAGAAAAATCAGCTCAACATCTCCAACTATATTAAAAAGGATAAAATACATAATTTACCTAAACATCCCTATATTTTCACTATAAGGATAACTAATGAAAAAAAATTGATAGTCAAACCATGTACAGAAGTTGTTAGATGTTCTAATAATATGTATGCAATTTATACATATTTATCCTTTGGCAAGTAGAAATATCATGCTAAATGGTTGTCATAAGAAATTTATTAAACTCATCGATCCAATCTCTCTTGAGAAAAAAAAAGATATATATTTTTAAAATTATCTTTGAAAATTTCTCATAAAATATTTTAACTTTCAAAAATTTTTACTGAGTGTCTTTTATTATGTGAAAAGATAATTTTATTCCTAGCCCCTATCGAACCCGCCCTTGCTTGCATCACTCTTGCACGAGAACCATCTTCGTATTTATGGACTTCGTTGGCCTTGTCAAACCCATCGTCACCTCCGTGCCGCCTTTTCATTACGTGAGGGCTATGAACTGATTGTCTATATAATAAGTGAGGACAATAAGAGTAAGACGAGTCTGACAAGGACTAAGGGTAAAATTATCATTTATAAAAAATATATTTTATAAAATTTTTAAAAGTTGAGTTAGTGAACGAGTGGGGCTCACATGTCAGCAACTATTCATGAGTTATGTTCTTCCTGTCAGCTTCTAATTACTATTTTGATGTTTGTGATTTTTCTTAATGTGGGATGGATCACATTAAATGTTTTTATTATGGGGACTTTCATTTCATAAGGGCGTTACTTGGAGATAAAATACAAACTTATAGATTTTCTTGATGAGTGTTGGTGATGATTGGATCAACTCGATCCGGTTGAAATCCGCATGCATTAAAAGTTTGATGTGATCAAAAGAGAGGCTCGAATCATCGAACAGTAGATTGGATGGGGTGGTTGACCTATACAAAAATTGAGAATGGATAAGGTTCCCCATGTAATCCCTCTGATGTGATGATCAAAGGGATGCTTGGATGTTTGCTCGGTGATTGACCTATACAAAAATCGAGATTGGATGGGGTTTCCCATGTGATCCCTCTGATGATCTAATCTATCACAAAACAAAAAACAAGAATTTCAAGTAAACAATAACTTATTTCAATTATTACGACATAATGAATTTTTTTATAATGGGCTTAACCCGAAGAAATATCTTATGATATATTAAGAATATTCTTTCAATATTTTATATTGGGTTGATATCCACTTGACTCAATTGTTGAGTGAGATTTGTTTCCTCCTTGTTGATTATGCCATCACATATCTAAGGCGAGATTGAAGTGAATATTTTCTCTATCAGAAAGGAAATTAAGAATTTACTTTTGAAAATTAAAATACTTAGAACAATTATCTCTGTGAAAATATCCTGATGGTTAGACAATTGATGATACGTTTCAGGTTTGACTTCGTATAGAAGCATGTTGTACGCAATATAGTATAATAAAAAATAATCCATCAATAATTGAGAAAAATAAATGATGTCAATGATATCATAATTTTACATTCTCCTCTTAATATGTCGTATAACATAACACCCTATTCCATCATGGCATATGGAATGCAAAGAAAAAGCTAACATGGGATTCATGTGTACAACACTACAGTGTTGTATGATTCGGGAACAAACAATGGCATTCATCTTCCTTCTCGATTTCTCATATGCAAAGCTTCAAACTTGTTCTCTTGATCAAAATAAATAAAAGCTTGTCTCCTCAAATGATATAGGTTTTCTTTAGCACCTTCCTGCCTCGCTTCCTTGGGTTGGAATCGACGATGATGTTCAAGGCATTCACAATCTCTGCATCCTCGTCGTTCCATATGTTTCTTGCAGCATCTGGGTTTTTTAGCAGCAGCTTCACCACCAGGAAGCCTGCGATGGACCAAGTTTGGTACAGACGAGCTTGTTTTCCAATGAATCGTGCTCGCTTGGTATCATAATATTCAGGCCACCTGTCTGCTGCAATGCGCTTTTCCGCAACCTCAATGGCTCTTGCAGCAATTTCTGGCCTGTTCATCTTAATGCATGCAACTGTGAGCTGCATTTTGATCACAAAAGGATAAGTCAGCATTAAAATGTCTCTCATGTGAGAACTATCTCCAGTAAACAAATGAATCTGCCCAAAGTATAGATTGCAGATCTTTTAAAATGCAACATCTTCATTTCCATCAGTAAAAGTTCCCAGCATTACAAGCAAAGTTTCAACATGCAGAATTTGTTTCTACTTAAATCTCAATTTCACAACGAAGTGCCAGGATGTGAGGCAAGATGGAACCACTGTTAGCATGACTCTCCAGGCCATGAGTTCTGATCCATTTGGGACATAAACCCACAAACAATGGCTACTTCTTGTCAAGGCATACTCACCCAACCAGACAAAAGGTTTATGACTGCCAATAATTTGTACGAGTACTGAGAATGGTTCACCAGTTATACTATTTTCAAGTGTCTGACCTCGACATGCAGCATGCATAAGATACCTCTCGTCACTTGATATATCATTTCTACTCAAGTCAATAATAATCAAACTCATGTCAAAAAGTAGGCATGCAAAAGACAAAGCAGAAGTCAGATATTTATGTGTATATCATCAATACACTAAAAAGAAAACAGGGTAATCCCAGACAAGTAATGCTACCACAAAATTTATACTGAAAATAAAATAACATTGGTGTATTGCCCACCTGCCAGAGCAATGTTGGCCAGGAACCTCCATTGTGGTATGACCAAGGCCTGCAGAAAGCACAATCATAGATTAGAGTAAAGAACTGGAAACTCAAATGGCAAGGTACTATTAGTAGATGCTGAAAGATTACGTATTTTTGGGATCACTGCCAGTAATAATTTGCCATTCCTGACCCTCGAGAGCAGGATAGCATATCTTAAATGGCATATCTGCCACCAAATCAGACCATTTAGCCTCAATAAGATCCAAAATGGCAAGTGATTGATGTGTAGTTGCTAGACTGCTCACTATAGACCACAGATTTCCTAGAGAAAAGAAACGAAAATCCATATGTGCAGGCTGCAAATTTCCAATAAAGTAACCTCCTTTCTCAGGCATCCATTCCACTAGCCATGGAGAAATTTGATCAGGGTAGATGTTGAACTTGTTCACAGCATCATAAGAATATTCTTCTGTTTTGTATCTGTAGATCTCATTGAGTTTTCTCTTGTCTACCCAATAATACTCCCGAATGTGAAATGACAGTGCTATTAATCTGTTATTTAATGCTCGAATAAGGTCTGCTGATCCATCCTCTGGTGCAAGCATCTCCCGAGCACATACAAGTGCCGAATAGAACAGTGCCTGCACATACAAGGCTCAGTCAGACATACACCCATAAATGATTTAGAGGGAACTCATTCACTTGTTTCATGTGACAGCTTTCCTCTAAAAAATTGAGGTGCTATCCAACAGAAGCAAGAATCTTAAGCAATTCATGAGTGTGAGTTTGCTGGTTCAGGGTTAAAGAAGATTAATTTGGTGGATGGAGAGCAAACAAATGTTAACAAGGGTTAAAATGACCCAGTCAAAGTGGTAATTTGCAAAAGAAAATCTAATTTCAATTCAACATTACATGGCCAAATTGGACACCTACCAAAAATATCTCATAAAGAACACCATTAAGGCAAACTTCTGGTTCCACTTAGAGCAAATATATTAAGGATTACCATTCAGCTTATACCAAATGTTAATGTAGCGCTTCAGATTTTTCTTTATAAAAAAGAAACAGAAGCACTTAATCTAACTCAAGAACAATAGAAGTCGTTAAAATGGAAGCAAAAAATGCCACCTGAATTTCAAGAGGGTGGCCATGAATCCCCATTCGGCGGTCAATCATGCATGAACCATCTGTTACTAATAATGTTGGAAACATGTCAAAGCCATCAGCTAAACAAAGCTTTAGAATCATCTTGATGCCTGTCTGCACATCAATTCTTTCCTGGACTGAGAGATCTCCAGAGCATTTTCCATAAGCCCGTAGCAGTATAATCCACCATAATCCTGCAGTCGAATATAATAGCATGTTTAACACTCAACATCCATGATTAAGCAGAATGCTAAACCTTGCAGAGAGAAATTTGAAAAAATCCTAGTGAACATCCAAAATTATAAGCAGACACCACAAAACGCAACTAGATGTATGGCAAAAGACTTCTCTTATCAACAACATCCAAGTACAGTATAACTCCTTGAGGTACTAATGAATATTATTAGAAAACTTGTCAGCTATGTGGCAATATATGATAATGTAGAAGGTGTCAGCTAACTTAGCTAGTAAAGCTCTTGACAGTTTATCACAAGGTCCTGGGCTCGAATTCTGCCTTCGCCACTTATCCATTGCGAAAAAGAAAATATAGGATAACATACCTGAATCAACTGGTGCTACACGTCCTATTGCAGCTTCTCCAAAATCAGGGTCCAAGACTTCTTCAGTAGCAGAGTCATCACCATCAAGCGGAACTGTCCTAATCTTGAAGCTTGCTGGCATCAATCCCTGACCTGGACTGTGACAATCCATTGTCTTCTCCCAGCTCTACAAATTTTAAAAAAGAATTTGAATGGTGTTCTCTATAGATGGAAAACTCAGGTGTAGCTGTTAGTGCAGTGACGACATTATGATTTGAATCTACGAGCACTATAACATGCAAGCTTTGTTTCCTAAACTCTCAACTCATGATGCGAAAGTCTCCATACACAGATGATGGGTAACAAAATAAAGTAGAAAAACAATCTAATGAAGAAGAAAACACAAGACATCTTTTAACACCCTTTTCATTCCAATTGTTGACTCTCGTGCCACTTCTAGTAGTAAAGACAACAGGAAACTTCTTACCTACACTCCAAATCACAGGCATGTATGACAATTTAATGCATTACCTGCAGCTGAAGAGTGTGAAGAATGAAGTTGCGGACAATTTCATATTCTCCCATCAATAGAAAAGCCATCCCCGAAGGTATGAAATCACGAATGAAAACCTGATCATAGTTCAAAACACTGCTACCGCTATCAGATGGATCCTTTGCTGCAATAGTTCCAACTGGAGTTCCACAATAATAAACCACAGATTCCTGTAAAAGCCGCCACGCCACATCCTCAACAGAGTTTCCTCTCGTCTTGTCCGATGACTGATTGACTGATACATCATTAGGCATGATGACAGAACCATTCTCAAAATCAACAACTTTCTGCCCATTCAGCTCACCAAGAATCTGATCTGCCTTACTCGTTGGTTCAGTGAACCAGGTCTTGTTGGCATCTCCACTGGTACTCTCAGCTCGCTGGCACTTGCATTTCAAAGACAACAATCGGTTATTGATGTTCCTAAATCCATAATCTCTCAGGCAACCGTTCCGCATTCTTGATGTAGAACATGAAGCTGCGAGCGCACGACTCTTCCTCCGGTACTTCCCACGAGTTTTATAGTGGATAGCTACGTGCGGCGCATTCGCAAATAAACTGGGACTAAAATGGGCAGGTACTGCCCCAGATAGGGCATGCATAGCTACCACCGAAGAACCCATCATCGAAACAACAAACAACAAATTTGTATTGATACCTTACAGAATCAACCGCGCGCATTATCCAGAGGCCTGAGAACAGAAGTCGCAGAAAAAGATCATTTTTGGTTCCAAAAAGTCACAACAAATGGAGATAATACACCCCATGAGATCAACAAGAGGCTCAAAGTACACTCGCCAAACAAAAATAGCAAAACCCCCAGCTTGCCAATTTCTTTCACCAACTCGATTGAAAACCCTACGAACCCTACAAAACCCGTCGGATGATCGCCAGAATATTAATAGAAGAAGCAAATAGTCGGGCGGCGGAGGCTCGGGAGAAGCACCGACCGGATTCTTGACGACATCGATTAACCGACCAGGAAGCTGGAAAACCCTCAACACCAATTAATCGAGAAGAACAGGAAATTACCAGGAAAAGGATGTGAATGACCTCGAAACGGGGAACGGGATCGGAAGAGACGGGAATTGCTAACGATGACACACATACATGACGACACTAGAAATTAGGGGAAATATAAAGAACATATCTACTCGCTGTAACGGCCGCAACGAAGCTTCATATCCGATGGGGGGAAATGATAACAATGAAGAGGATAAGAACAAACATATATTAATGGGAACAGCATTCCATCAACAAAAATAATATTATGCATATGTTAGATATAAGGTCATATATATTTACTATAAAAAAAGGGTAAATTTCAGTATTTTTTTCTTTTTTTTCGGAAAGATACTTCCTTTTTGATATTTTCGAAAAAAATCGACATAACTCCTTAAATACCTCATGATGATTGAAGTAATGCTTGATTATATTATGAATTAGTTATTCTCTTGTGTACAGTAATTTTTTTATAGGTTTATAATGTTTTTGGATTCTTCACCAAAATATTTAAGTCTGTTTAAAATTATTATAATTATGATAAATTGATTCAAAACAAAATAGAATTCATTTCAATGTTTCATATGTAAAAATAAGATTTCAAATAAATATTTTTTATTATTTTAGAAACAAAAACTATCAAATAGGAAGATTTACTTTCTTACCAAATGTTAATGGTTTGAAGCCTTATTAAATATATTTTTTTATCATGTCAACAAGTTTAATTGGTAAGGACCTCCACAATTTATTACAAAGTCCTAAACTTGAATCCTATATTCATCACTTGTTATTTACAGTATATATATATGTATATATTAAAAATCACTTTAATTGATGAATTAGATTGATTTTACCCTATCAATTGGTATGAGAGTAATTGTTATGTCTTATTAGGAGTATTCTAGAAAATATGGCAAAAAGAATACCGATTAAAAAATATTTAATTTTTTTATTGGAAAAAAATGAACTTTTTACCAGAATTCATCCAAAAAATATATAAGAATAATATTATTATTACTACTAATATATATATTTGTTAGATTTATAAGATGGGATAATATTTACTTTCATGAAACTGCTTGATAGATTGTTTTGTGGAGTGAGACAGGATGGACTTTGGGTTATGAACAAGTGATATTCTTTCTATTATAGTATAAATCCAATTAATATTCAGAGGAATATATATATAAAGAGAAAGAAAAAAAAATATTATAAGGGCTAATACATTATTTCCCACATATGAGAGGCTGAGGTGCACTTCCTTGACTCGCATCATAACCATCTTGTGTGATCCTGACAGAAGCAGGGGCATGGAGTGTTCCATCGCTGCTGCGTGGAAATTGCTTTGCCTCAAAGCCAAGCGAAGAAGAAAGGCCGAGTCTGGCAGACCACCCTCGCTACACGGAATATGAAGTCTCATATTGCGATCAGCTTCATAATGCAGTCCGAGTAATATGGATGTTCATGATGGAAAGCCAGGTGGTAGCTCATGTGCTTTATCTTGGCGCCTACGACTCTCCTTCCAAGTCTCTTCATAACAACGCAGCTCGTGCAGGGACAGAAGTGAAAGGAAGGGCTGCGTCGAAGAGGAGAAGAAGGTAGGAGAGAGGTCTGTCGGCTCTGAAGAAGCGTTGAGAGGGTCTAATGGAGGAAGGACAGCAGCAGCACATTCGACAAATCAAGAACTCGCGGCTAATGGAGGAAGATGGTGAAGAAGAATCACCGAGGTCAGCTCTTTCCTCATTCCAAGCAAGAGAAGAAGAGATCGAGAGGAAGAAAATGGAGGTCAAAGAGAAGGTTTTTGCTCAGTTGTGCAGAGTGGAAGAGGAGGCTAAACACTTGGCCATGATCCGAGGCGTAAGTAGATCCATGCACCATCTACAATTCTGATCCATTAGAATCCAGGAAAACGTCTGATGGCCATGATTACATATCCTAACTTGGATTCTGGTAGGAACTGGAAGCCATGGTAGATCCAACCAGGAACGAAGCGGCGGCATTACGCAAGAAGATAGACGCAGTCAATCGTGCATTGAAACCTCTCGGACAATCCTGTCTGAGGAAGGTAAACCAAAGTTTAGATCTTCTAGAAACCGAGTGTTGTTTGATGATCAATTTACGTGTTGCAATCGAGTTTAACCATGACCTGGATGATCACATTTTGTGAAGGAAAAAGAATACAAAGAAGCTCTCGAAGCCTTCAATGAGAAGAACAAGGAGAAGTCTCAGCTAGTGGCCAAACTCATGGAGGTGACTTTTCTTTCTTTTGCGTCTTCTTTTATTTGGTAAGCTGTTGACTGAGCTTGCCATCCATGGAAGCAGTAGTGTTGATTGAGTTCGTCATGTTCATTGTTCGAGCAGCTGGTCAGCGAGAGCGAGAGACTGAGGATGAGGAAGCTGGAGGAGTTGAACAAGTCGATAGATTTCTTTCGCTAAGTCCATCTGCAGGAGCGTTTCAGATGGATTTTTTCTACAGTAATGTTTGTGATCGGGATTCCAAGTTCTGTTTCGGTCGATTGTAATGGTTTAGTTCCGAATTGCTTTAATGCATCATCGGAATCTCTCTCTCTCTCTCTCTCTCTCCAGGCATTATTAATCCTTCGATGTTGGCGGCCGCAGCGGTGACCCACCGGCATCTGCAACTGCAGCGGGGACCGGCAAGTGGTGAACCCACTCGAACCAGGTACGCTGACGTCTGAACCTGCAACTGCGGGGAGGGAAATGGCTCCCCTTCCTCGGAGACGTCAATGAGGCTTCCAATATTGACGAGGGAGGTCAAAATTGAAGTGGGAAAAGTCAAATTCACGTTGCGTTAGATAGTAAATATAGTTATAATATTGGCAATATCCGACACGAGAGCTTTTGATGGTCATTCTTCTCCAACGATAGCAAAACATAAACGCTTATGCATTCTGCTTACGTCAATACCGGACTGCTATACTGTAGACAAAAAGAGAAGAAAGAAAGAAAACGGGAACGAAATAGGTCACGACATCCAATTGCTGCGGTCGGGCGCCGGGGGCGGCGGCTCGGTCATGGCCACGCCGCCCGGCCGTGGCGGGTGAGGGCGGGCGGCTTCCGCCAAGGGTCGAGGACAGAGTCGCGGTACCTCCACGGCAGCGCCTGGCTCCTTCCCCGCTTCGAGCGCACGATCGGGGCCGTCTCCGTATCGTCGAGATCGGACGGAATCCACCGCTTCTTTCCCCCACCGCCCGAAAAGGTCGGCGCCCTGTCGGGCGGGGCGGAGGATCCCTCTGCGGGCGAAGCCTCTGGCTCGACCTTCTTTTCCTCCGGCCCCTCCTCGAAGACGCCGCCTGACACCTGACGGACAGCCTCCAGAAGCAAATCCAAGCATCCCTGATTCTCTCGGTCCTTTCCTGCGCTCCTACTGCTGCTGCTGCTCGTGATGGTGGTGGTGGTGGTTGCAGGGGTCGCCGCGTCTTCTCCTTCCCCGCTTCCCTTCGTTTCTTCTTGTTCTGCGAAGACCTCCTTTTTGGCGTCGTGTTCTGCCGCCTCCCCGTGGCCCTCGCCCTCGTTCTTCTCTTCAGGATCGCATTCGCCCTCGGAACTATTGACCGCAGTCAAAACGTCGACGCCGCCAACTGCCGCCGCTGGGGCCATCGCGAAGGTCGCGCCCTCCGCGCCTCCGGACTCCACCGGCGCGGAGGCATCCACGACGACGCTGTGCGCCGTGGGGCCATCTCCCTCGGCGGGTCCTCGTCCGATCTCTGGCGTCAGGCCCCACCTAAGCCTCGGATCGACGCCAAAGCCCGGCTCTTTCGTCATCCCACGCGCCGCCCCGAGATCTCCGCCGACGCCGCGGCCGAACGCGTCGGACACGGGGCGAGGAGGAGGAGTCGGGGCAGGAGTGGTGGAGATGATGGCTATGATCTTGGCCAAGGCGGCTTGGGCTTTGGCTTCCCCGGTGCGGGACAAAGCGACGGCGTAGAGTTGGCCGTCGGATCGGCGATTGACAGGAGCCGGCGAGGAAGCCATGAACAAGGATCGAAGCTTCTGCTCCTCTTCCGCGTCGTCCCTCCTTTCCTCCTCCTCGATATCTCTTAACAGATTATTAGGATGAATATAAACAATAATAATAATAATAATAATAATAATAATAATAATAATAATAATAACAACAACAACAACAATAATAGATAAAAATTAAGAAAAAGACTGATAAACCCTTCGGTTTCAAATATTCTATTTACTTGTTAATCTATCACAAACTTAAAATTTACTTGAGAGTCCCAATTGTATATATTTAATTATTATATAATTAAATACTTAATTATTATTATTTAATTAATAATAATATTTGAATCCGAGTTTGGAAGTGAGCATGCACATTACAAAGACATAGAACATTTTCGTTATTGATAGAGGAAATTAATAATCTTATTGCACATCATTTTAATATAATAGAAAAAAAAATATGAATTTAACTTCCTAGAACAGAGTGTGAGATGATGAGAATAATAGAATGGATTAAAAACACATATGATAAATTTAATTAAAAATCAATGAGGTCACATTTTGATCATCAATCTATTATGGAGAGTGAGAATATAGCTTTTTGTTGAGATGAGATACACAAGAATTTGCACAGTATCATCCTCATATAATGTTCAATTTAGATAATATTAAAAATAAAAATAAAAACACCTATAAAATGCCTGAAAGGGAGTCAGAGAAATGAATCATAATTCTTAAACCCTACAAGGATATCCCTTTTATAGTAAAAAAAGAATTTTCAACTCTCAATAATAAAAAAATAAAATTTTCATTTTAATATAAAAATTATCATTTTGATTTAGTGATTATAGGCTAACAAAGTCTACCATCAAATGAAGGTTGTCTTGATTCGAGGTAAATTGTTTATCTTTTCTCGGCCTACATATCAATCATAAAAGTCTATGAGAGTCAAGTCAAATTAAAATCAAATTGATCAAATATCAAAATAAAAATCAATCAATGGTTCTATGATTTTGAATCAAGTCAGAACCAAAAACAAGGATTCTGATTTGGTTTCAAACTGATTGAAAAAATAAAAATATTTAAGTTAAAAAATAAATATTTAATTTAATAAAAAAAAAGATTATTATGGTTCAAAATTGGAATATCCTTTTTCCTCCACCTCCTTGAAATCTCTATTAACAAATTATTAGGATGCAAATAAATGATAATAATAATTATTATGGATAAAACCAAAAAAAGATAAATCATCGGGTTTCAAGTATTCTATTTACTCGATAGTCCATCATAAATCTAAAATTTACTTAGGAGCCTCTGTTATATCTTAAGACATAATCAAACCAAGGAGATTAACAAGTTAAATTGTTTAAATAAATGTGAGATGTGTCTTTCATATTGTCCACAAAATATTTTTTATTATTATTTTATAACTAATTGATATGATTTTGTATTATTTCTTTTTTATCTGGCATCGGTGTGCTAAACATTCAAATTTGAGTTTGGAAATGAGCATGTAAACATTCAGTAATTTTGGTTCTTGATAGAGGAAATTAATAATCGTGTTGCACATCGTTTCAATATAACAGAGAAAAAAAATAATTGAATTTGACTTCATAGAGCATAATGCGAGATGAGAATAACCTTTTTATTGAGATAAAATATACAAGAATTTACATGACATCATCCTCATGTAATGTTTAACTTAGATAATATTAAAAAAAAGATGAAAATAGATATAGAATACCGGAGAGGGAGTGAGAGAAAAGAATCATAATTCTTAAACCCTATAAGAATGTCACCTTTATTTATAGGTTAAAAAAAGTTTCATCAAAAGAAATTCTTCATTTTGATATAAAATATTATAATTTTGATTTAGTGGTTTTAATTCGTGATAAATTGTTTGGTTTTCCTTAACCAACATATCAATCATTCTATGAGAGTCGAGGTAGAAGGGGAAGATGCAGCTCTAATCTAGCTCGATTCAAATTGAAATCAAATCGATCAGTGATTTCAAACCAAATCAATTCCGAAGATAGGGGTTTTGATTCGATTTCAAACTAATTGAAAAAATAATAATATTTTAAAAAAAATTAAAAATTAAATAAATAAAAATGATTATTTTCGGATCACCAGTCAATTAACAAATTTTCGATTGTCAATCTTCATTCATTCTATTTAATTTATTTTTTTTAAAATTAGCATATAGAAAAGACTTTTAGTTTATGATCTTAATGTTATTCTTATATTTAACATAATATAATATTTTATAGTATATATATATATATATCATTTGGATAACTATCTTCTTAGTTAGTGTTTGATTTAACGTGCAAACATTTCGGTACGATATTTGTTAGAACATTGACTGGAGAAGCATATGCGGCTGAGATAGGAAGATGATGGTGTTACTGCACTGCATGATGACTGCGCTACTGAAAGAAAGAAGAAGAGAAGAGAAGAAATGAAGAGCTTTGACATCAGTTTTGGCATCAGCTGGTCATCGATCTTGAACTTTTCTACTTCGTACGTGATGAGAATTTGACTTTATCTTTGACTAGTAGTCTCTCTTTCCTAACTTACGAGTGACGGAGGTCTCCGTGTTGGTAGATGTTGTGGACATATAGTCTGTCTTCTTCTCATGTTCTCACCTGTTTCCTATTCTCTTGTGCTCTCTGTTTGTTTGCGAGCACAATCATCCTTCCCCACCTTCTGCAGTAGAGAGGAAAGGTGAAGCCCCTCTTACTGTGGAATTTGAGTAGGTCATCATCATCCGAACTGAATTGAGTTTATGTTCTTTGTAAAGACAGATTTTCCATTGGATCACATGAATCCTGCTAAGGTTATGACCTCTCTCTCTCTCTCTCTCTCTCTCTCTCTCTCTCTCTCTCTCTCTCTGTGTTGGAAATGTGTGATCAGTTCCAGAGGTTGTGATTCCAGTCTGAGTCATGCTTGTTTTTTAAGGAAAAGACTGCTGCCATAATATCTCCATGATCAATTGAACACATAAGAGAAGGATGCTGCCAGAATTAGACACCGGATGGGCTTTTATTTTTGTGTTCTGGTCTCAGGAATTGGATGTTCTCATGGGTTAATTTGCAAAAGTTATTCAAGAAACATATCTGAGTCAGTTGATCAAACATCTGTCACCTAAAGCTTTAGTCAATGCTTGTTTACAAAATCTTCTTTGGGTGAAATATTTATGTGACTTTAGTCAATAATTAAGTCAATATAGATTGAGAACGATCATCATTATCGTTCAGCTATCACTGATCCCTCGTAAGCTTACACTCTTTCTTCTGCCTGCAAGTAGTCATCGACTGAGGTGGGTTCTCTCACAGCCTTCACCTCCATCTTGCTTTCCCCTTCTATGGCTTATGGATTTGCGTGTAGGTGTCATCCTCCGCTTCAGGCATCCTTCAATCCCATCCTCGCGCTCTTCCACTTCCGACACCTGAGACGCAAGAAGTACTGCATCAAGGTCGTGAAGACATGCATGCAACTGAAGAAAAGGATAGATTGGACTCCTCTCCTACATGTTCCACGCGATGAACCCTATGAAGCTTAGCAGAACCTGTGTTGCCAAAGCAGTGGGAATTAACGTAGAAGATCTCCATCAATACCCACATATATTCGTATGATTCAGACCTTACCTGGCGTTAATGGTGGCCGCAGGGAAACGGGAAGCAACTCTTGTGGCGTGCATGGCGAGGATAACGACGAGAACAAGGAAGATAAGACACAGACATGAAAGATGCGGTAGAGCGGAGCACAAAGAACGGTACATATAGACGAGGTCGGGGTCACCATTGAAATGCGAACCTCAAAGCAGGTGGCAGCAACAACAATGGCGACATCACTGCAGGACCTCACCGTTGACCCACCACCATCCCAAGCATATGCTTTCCGCATGTGTAGTGTTCCAGCTCCCAAAGTTCCACCTTTTGACTAAATCGTGGCTGTAATCGTCGTTGAAAGAATCTCTTTACCTCCAACTCGACTCAACCACTGAGAAGCCTCCCCTGAGCTTGTAATCCCTTATCTTAGCTTCGAGAAGACATGTTTATCCTCCTGCTTGTATCAGTCTTGTATTTAGCGACGTCATCATTGATCATAAAGATGAGAATCTCAAGATGTACGTACGTTTGCATGCACATGAGATATAAATGCTGTGGTGCACAGGCAGAGCCATTTGTCATGCAGTGCTTGAGGTCTGAGAAGAGTCACAGGAACATGAAAAAGATGATCGAGCTGCGCTAGCTTTCGGCCTTGAGATGCGTGCTGTCACCACCGCCTTGATGAGGAGAGACGTACGGCCGCTGCCCAAAGCATTGAGCCTTTCAAGGCAGTTTGGGTCTCGTTGTTATCCATGCAAAGTGTTCGAGCTGTTCTTTCTTATGTATCGTTGTCAATCTTCGAAATCACATTTTCCTCATTATAAACTTTAATATAACAAATAAATCCCTCGAAAATATAATCATGTCTCTATATTTTGGAAGGAATGTATATATATATAACAAAAAATAATTAATTTTTAATTAAATATATATGAGGTTATGAAAGATCTTTTTTATGACTTGGTTTTAGGGTTATGCTAAGATAATCAAAACGAGTTCAAATCATGTATATGTTTTTTAATACTTAATTAAAAAATATTTCAATGATACTCTTTTCTTATTTATTTAGGTTTATACAATGCACATTTTTACATTCACGAAACCATAATATAAAAGATGTTTAGCATAGTTTAAGGAACACGAATATAGATAAGAAACCAACCAATTTGACCTATTGTCATTTACCCTCCTTAAACTACACTCAAAACGCTTTTAACTTAAATTCGATTTTAGTACTTAAGTAAAAATCTCAAAATCCATTGTAATAAAAAATTATGATCGTTGGTTCTAATCGAAATTGTCTCCATATCTTTAACATTTGTTATTTTAGATTTTAATTGTCTAATACGTTAAGCAAAATTTAACGTCTAAATTTTTTTCAAGTATCATAAAATAAAAAATTATTAGATGATCATGACGAAACTACATCGAGACATACCTAACAAGTCTCTCTAATACTTTAAGTTAATAGAATTAAGAAAATTTAGGAATGAAACTATGAGTATTTTTTATATTAAGCTTAGAGATACATAAGAGATTAGTTGCCTTTGTGTTCCTAAAGGCATACAACCATGTATTATGGTATACAACACTCGTATGGGGCGTGTTATCGGGTTCATTATTGGATATATGGTATCATGCGTTCTTTTTTAGTGGATCAAATCCCATCGACCAGTGTCACACTCCGAATATGAGCCGCCTCCGAAGTCCGAACCATTGTGACCGGCGCATGCTTGGTTTTCTTGTGAATTCTTCTTCTTCTTCACGTACACCAAGGGATACGTAGCCGTTGCTTCCCTCCTTGCGCGTCGCATGATTTGAAATCCTGAACCCCGACTCGGCGTCGCAGAACTCAGCCCGCGTTGGCTCGGTACGTGGCAAAAAGGTCCATTCACTATATACAAAAAGTGCTAGCTCAGTACTGTTAGCCGTCCATTAGAACGGGAACCAACCCTTATCCACCGTTAGATCCCGCGTTCCCCGGATCTCAAAGCTGCTTCTTCGGTGGACTCCCATGTAGGCTTTACTTCTCCTACTCGCCCCGTGATTTCCGTCCCGTGTACCCGCCTCGTTATTGATCTGAATGTGGAGCCGGACAGGCCCCACATGATTAGCCAGGCAGGCGGGTACGGGAAAGGGGAAATTCCTTTTGTAGACCGGGGCTGGAGCCGAGTTTCTGACTCGCCCTAGTTGAGTCACAACGCGCTCGTGGGGAAGGACGGTACCGAACCGTTTCGATGTCATGTCACGGACGGCCAAGGCGAGGCTCAGCCGAGTCACGGGCCGGGTTGGACCGGGCGAGTTCTTCGAATCACTATGATGGCGGTAACGTTGCTATTATGGTTCCACTCTATCTTCCCCTTTCTGTCAACAAAAGCTAGGGCACAAAAAGGAGATCCCTCGGCGGCAGCCCTCCCCAGATCGAAACCCTTCCCTCTCCCCCGTCCCCTCCCTCCGATCCGTCTATCGATCTCCTCCTCCTCCTCTCGCTCGATTGGTCGACGCTTGGGAACCAGGAGGGCGGAAGGGAGTCGAGGGCCGCGTGCACGAGAAGGAACCTTGGACGTGTCCATCTCTTCCCTTCCCCGCTAGATCGCTGTTTCGCCGGACGTTTGCAGGTCCTTGGAACTTCCTCGAATACCTCGTTTCGAAAAGTCGGATCTTTAGGCTTTCCGGCTTCTTCGTTTTGGTCCCCATCTTTTTCTAGGGTTTCCGCCTCTTTGGCTGCCTCATTTTTCCTTGTTTTGTTTGTTTACGCTTCAATCCGGACTCTGCTTCTGCTTCTGTGGTATGGAATATAAATGCACTCCTTTCTAGTCTCCCATCCCCAAATCTGACCTTATGGGATCGGAGGAGGTGATGGGGTCTGTTAACGGAGATAGAGTGGATGAGCAGAGCGTCGTGGAGGTGCGGACGGATCAACGATCCGAGGCTTCTGAGATTGCTGGGTTGGTCATCGAAGCCGGGAATGTTGATGCTAGTGCTCTCGTCGGTAGGTATGTGAGCAAGGAGACTCCTGGAGTCAAGAGACCCCTCGTTGGTAAGGTGGCGTCTTACGACCACGGAAGTGGATTGTACACTGTCGTCTATGAGGACGGGAATCGTGAGAATTTGGACCGTTTGCAAGTCTCCAAGATCGTCATTGCTGAGGACACCAGGGTAGGCTCAAACATGAAGCTTAGCTGTAGGAAGAGGAAACTTGACCTTCTAGTCTCTTCTGGTTCACAGGACACGAATGTGCCTCCTCCGAGGACAAGGTCCAGGAAGAATGCCCCATGTGCTTCTGATGGAGCTGACACCTCTTCGCATGGCAGGACAGATTCTGACCTCTCTGAAGATGCTGACTCTTCTAGCAATTCCTGTGATTACGTGCAGGGTCCTTCATCCGTCGCATCTCCAGAGATCCATATGTTAGAATTGCCCCCGTCTTCTGGGGATATTCTGATTTCTGAGGAATCAATTAGTTATCTGTTCTCTGTATATAGTTTCTTAAGATCATTTAACATTCAGTTGTTTTTGAGCCCCTTCGGACTAGATGAGTTTGTTGGATCACTCAAATGTACGGTCCAGAATTCTTTGCTGGATGCCATTCATCTATCGCTTATGCGGGCTTTGAGGCATCATCTTCAAGTGCTTTCTTCTGAGGGTTTGGAGCTCGCTTCAAAATGCTTAAGGTTGTTTTCTCTCTTATTTTTATACTCGCCTTAGTGTTGCTTGTATTTTTTAACTAATTTTGAAGTTTTGGCTTTTCAAATTTTACAGATATTACGACTGGAGTTTGCTTGATGCATTGACTTGGCCAGCTTTCGTAGTTGAGTATCTGTACATAATGGGATATATGAGAGGTCTGGATGGGAAGGAATATGGTGCCATGCTTTCAAATGGCGAGTATTACAGTCTTCCTGTAACAATAAAGCTTAAGGTTTTGCAAATACTATGTGATGATGTAATGGACTCTGCAGAACTCAGAACTGAACTTGAAATGCGTGAGAATTTGGATGATGACGTAGAAGATGGTACTGATATTAACTTTCCACTTGGGGATGGGCCAAGGAATGTGCACTCTAGATCTCTCAAGAATTCTGCTTCTAGGAGCATGTGTGCTCTTCAGGATTCCAAAGAGCCACCAAAACAAATACCAAGCTCGAAAGTAACGGAATCTAATGCAGATGTTTCTAGTGCTGATACAGATGGTAACAGTGATGAATGTCAGCTCTGTGGTATGGATGGCACTTTGATTTGTTGTGATGGGTGTCCCTCTGCATATCATTCTAGATGTATTGGCCTGAATAAAGCATTTCTACCAGATGGGCCATGGTTTTGTCCAGAATGTACAATTAACAAACTTGGTCCTACATCTTTTAGAGTAGGAAGGAGTATAAAAGGAGCGGAGGCTCTTGGCGTTGATGTTTGTGGACGATTATTCTTGGGAACATGCAATTACTTGCTCGTGTAAGCTTTTCTACTTAGAGCATGTTATATTCACATGATTTTTTTTGAATTTACATATTTTAATTAAACTATTCGACACAATTTATGCTACACTTAGCATATGTATTCTGCTTGCCGGTTAATTGAAGATAAAAATTCTGTTGTGGCATGTGGCATTCTTCTAACACTCTCTTCGTTGTGTTATTTCATCTTTCTTTATCTTCTTCTGGTACTCTTCTTTGTTTTCTGATACGTAGTTATATAAATTAGCCACCCTTTTTGCCCCATGTAATTCTCAATTTTCTAGATATGTTTTAGAATTAGCAGAGTGATCTTCCCTGGATCCAAAACCAAATCTTCTTCAATAAGAAGAGGGGAACCAACCATGAGGCTGCACATATGTCACGGTCATAGTTTTGCATGTTTTATGTTGCACAGATGTTTGAAGTCACATTTGTCTTATCTTGGCTCATCTTGCTCACCTGTGAGTACTCCTAAAGAATCAATGAAACAACATCAATCATATCTTATAATCTTTTCTTAGATGCTTTATAATGATTCCTCTCAGAACTTTGACTAATTGGATCTTTATCATTTGTTTATATTAATTCTGCAGGATTGGGACATCATTGAATGCAGAGCCATTTTATAGATACTACAATCAAACCGATGTCACCAAGGTCTTAAACTTGATGTCTTCAGTTGCAGAAAATTCATCATCATATGCTCATATCAGCACTGAAATATCGAAATACTGGGAGGTTCCAGCATCCACTCTGGAGGCTGGACAAATTAAACCTGTAGGTAATTCTCTCGCTAATGCTGAAACCTTTAAACATGGTGCTCTATTTTCCATTACCTTGATTAAGAGGTCCATTGACAATGTTACAGGGGGAAATCATATTTATACAGATAGGGAGAGTGGTGCAGATGTTGAAGCTGGAGTTCGCAGTTCTGTATTGAACTCAGTGAACCAATTTAGCTTTCCTGAACAGCAGGAGTCTGCTAAAGAAAAGTGTAATGATGCTACAGATAAGACAGAATTAGCTTCACATGGAATTTTGTTATTTCCGAGTGATGAACAATTTTCTTCAAAAGTTATTAGTGAGACTGTCCAGAAGATTTTCCCGGATACTCACACAAGATCTAGTAAGCAATTGGGTAATGGATCTATGATGACAACCATGTCATTCTCAAACTTGCCATATGCCTCTCAAAGATCAATAGTACCTGATATTTCAAGTTGCGCCTCAACGAATGAGTATGGAATGTGTAGGGCAGCTGCAGGTAGCTCATACTTTTCCAACAAGAATGATGCTGTTGGTGCGTTTGGTGGAGGCAGACATGGAAGCCAATATTCTGTTGTGCAAGAAAGAAATGATAAAGCCTCAAATAATAGAGTTTTCTTCAACCCTCAGTCTTATGTCAACCAGTATATCCATGGTGACATTGCTGCATCTGCAGCTGCTAATTTGGCTATTCTTACAACTGAAGAGAAAAGATTTTCAGATGCTCATATTTCTTCCAACTCCCGGAAAACTGTGGCTGCAAGCATTGCACTGCAAATGAAAGCATTTTCCAGAGCTACAATGTATTTTTTGTGGCCAACTTATGAGAAGAAACTGATGGACATCCCAAGAGAAAGATGTGGTTGGTGCATTGCATGTAAAGGTTCAATTACAAGCAAAAAGGGATGTTTTTTAAATTTGGCTGCCACCAATGCGATTAAAGGATCTGCTAGAAACATTAGTGGACTTCGTCCAACTAAGCATGAAGAAACTCACTTTCCGGTCATCGCAGCACATATAGCAAACATGGAGACAACACTGCATGGTCTAATTGTTGGGTCATTTCTAGATACACAGTATAAGCTGCAATGGCGAAAACTTGTTCGAGAATCCTCCAGCTGCAGGGTCCTGAAATTTCTACTGCTTGAAGTGAGTTTATCAGTAATTTTCTTGCCATCATTGTTACTATGTATTTTTTCCTGTTTCTGTTTGCTTGAGTCTTCTTTGCTGTATATTACTGCTAACATGCGTCGGTTTGTTTGCATGAGATGACCAATCTCGGTGTTTTTTATTGGCAAAGGATTTTGCTATGGAACATAGGGCTATGTAATGTTTTTGACATTTCATTTTTCATTCATGGCATGCATTATACATTTTATAATCCTGCATTCATTTCAATAATGAAGTTTTTTATGCAAAATGTATATGGTAGTAAAACCTCTGCTTTTTGATGCCCCAGTTAGAGGGATAAGTAGCTTGTCTTGACTTCACTGGAGACTTTTGTCTCTGAGAAAAGAAAATGGAATAGAAGGGGTTTGAGGTGATGGACAATGAGTGATAGGGTTGTGGGAATGGCTGAAGATACCTGATTGGTTTATAGAAGGATGAGTTCTAGTTGCAAAAGTAACCCACCTAATGGTCCCAGAATTTGCCTAGCTGAGGCCTAAACTTTTAGAAGTCAATATGTTACAAATTATAGAAATCAGGAACTTTTGTACTCGGCAAAGACTCACTGCATACAAAAGAGAGTGAGAAGAATAAGTAGAGGCAAGTGATGCTATTGGCTGCTGCATATCCTTTGACCCATTTGGATGTCTTAATGGTTTCAAAGAAACTAGTAGCTTGGGAGCCTTGAGTTAAAAATTGGGGTTACTTAGAGCTGTTAGCACAAGTTAACCAGTGCATGGTTGTTATAATTGAATTGACTAATGAGACATTTGTTTAACTAATTCGTTTTGTTACAGTGTAACTTTAAGTTGCTTATACAAGTTCATCCTCAGTCCTTTTACTGATTATAATTGAATTGACTAATGAGACATTTGTTTAACTAATTCGTGTTGTTACAGTGTGACTTTAAGTTGCTTATACAAGTTCATCCTCAGTCCTTCTACTGAAAATTGTCTTGTTTGGTTATGTTGAGAGGCCTTGATGGGATCAACTCTATCACTACATGCTAACTATCATTTCTTCAGTTGCCTTCACTCAAGAAACACCATTAGCCTGAACCAATCTCTCATATGCATGGGGCATTAACATTGCTGTCCGAGATAGGGGCTTAGATCACTATCATGGATGCTCAATGCAGCTTATGGTGATTCTGTACACATTTCACACTTCGGGATAGCATTATTCAGCCTCACAAGTTGTTTCTGTTCATATTTGCATAGCTTCAGCTATTCCAACTTTGGTATCCCTTCTTGACCTAAATCAGTGTAGGTCTAGCATGTACAGGTCTCATCCAGCCCAGTTGAACTTGGAGAAGACTTGCTCTAACATGAATAAGGCTTACCTAGCTTTTGGATGTTCCTTACTTGTACAGGAGAAGGTAGAAACATTGTTTAACTTGAGAAAAGAACTTTTGGGCCATTCCTAGTTGGGATAAGAGTCAGAGAACATCTATTCATTGCCAAATTTGGAAAGGGGAAACTTGACCAAGCCTCCTTACAAGTTTGTAGTTGGAGTAGATTATGAAATTCTACTTCTAGTGAATTTTGGATTTGTTTCATTGTGTTTTATATCGTTGATATGTTAGGATTTTTTTGACCACTATTTTGAATTCAAATATGTGTCCAAGAATTCTTGTACGGATATGCTATGGGTTAAAGAAGTTACTTAGCTATTCGAAATTGTATCTAGAGAGGTTTATAGATCCTTCTAGAGGAATTTTGTGGGTTATGAAAATTTTCTATATGGAAACTTTACTCATAAGTCGTTTTAGTTAATTGTATGTAGGTAATTTTAAGCCCTTGAATGATAAGAGTTGGGTTGCCATCTCTCTTGTTGCCCTAATGAAAATTTATTTACTTTAGTTCTCTTTATTTGTAGTTGGTGAAAATAGCGAAGCCCTTTTTTGGAGGACATAACTTAACACAATGACTAGTTGGATTGTTTGTCTCCTAAAGCATTGGGCTTATAGCAGTTGCTATAGTCCAGTCATGTGGTGCTTGTTAGACTGCTGTGATGGTCACTATGTTCCCCAAATACCATATGCTGGAAGTACATATAGACCACTGGACATGCGATTATAAATCCCTATTGCAACACTTTAGATCACCGAGAAAGTTGCAAATCACTGTTGCAGCTGGTATGATGATCGTGGATCCATGTGGTATGTTGTACTAATTGCATGTTATGTCCCTTTCTGAACTTATGTGAACATACATGTTCTAAAGATCAGTTAGATGGTTGAACATTTAGTCATTTTTGAAGGTCAAGATTCTGTAAACTAAATCAGTTTGATTGTCATTGACAAACTTAATCATAAACAAACAAATAAGTGATCCAACAATGAAATTTGAATGAGTTGTCTGATGCACTATTTAGAAATTCAGTATTTATGTAATGTTTGGACATTTTTTTGAATGGCGTTTTTGACATCTTGACGGAGGAAACATTAGTTCATGTGGTAGGTGAAGCAGGGTTTGGTGGGATTCGAACTGATTTAAGTTTGGCTGATTTATAGTGCTTAACTAAGAAGAGATGTGTTTAAGTGAAAATGGCAAGAGCAACAGAAGAGTATATATATAGAGAGAGAAAGGGATAAATTGCTCCTGGTTTTCTTTTCCTACAAAGAAGAAACAAGTTCTATTGGAGAAAGAGGTTACCTTGGAAGAAATTTGGACGGTAGATAATGGAGATGAATTACATGTCAAGGCCACATGGTTAAAGACAAAAGATGTCCTTATATCTATTATCGTATGTCATTATCTTCTATGTGTTACCCTTTTTGTTTGGGGTTTATGCTCTTCTATTCTTAAATGCTGAATATGATGTCATTTCTAGTACCTGAAAAGGAAGCAAATGAACTGGACCATCTTTGTCCAGAATGAGCCAGCAACTGTCCTCTCTAAGTAAATGATTTGATGAACTTTCTAAAACACTTAACGTCTTCTCTTTGTCTAATTTCTAGTACTTTTAAACTAAAAAGAATTATGAACCAGATTTCTAGGATCAAGGATTGGTTCAATATCTTGTCCCACCAAGAGGCCATAATGAGGATTATTGTGCTATGTGCCTTCTTTCTATAAAGAGTTCAGCATACTCATGGGTAAAAAGACAGTTGTACCATTGTTTAATGGCCCATTAACTTACTGTTACCTAATTCAGATTTCGCTAATGACGTGATTGCACTGGTATGATCTTACAATCATGTTGTAATCTTCACTTAGTCTATGTATGTTGATGTTTGGATTATCAGCAAGTTTTGCTACTGTATGTTCTCAATTTGTGCTGTTTAAGGTATAGTGGAACTATCTGATGGTTTCTGCTTAGAAGACTCCATTTAGGAAAAGAGATTTACTAAGCTATCATAGTGATTCATGTGCTTTTAAATGATTTAAGGCTCTCATCACAAAATGTATGATGAGAAACCATCTTTACGCTCAAATTCCTGGTCTCAGTATGCTGGTTGATGTCCAAATTTCTATTCTTTTGGATGGCAATTCATGGATTTGCTTTTATATTGAATATTAGAAACTGTTAAAATCATTACATATTGTATATGTCACTACAGTACCAGAAGATACTAAATTATGTTCTCACTAAAATTTTAGTATTTACCTTGACTAACCATATTTTTTATATTATCCCTTACCCTTTTCTTAATCTTGTGCTACTTTATATTTTTATTCAACCAAAGTTAGTTATCTTGCTCTAGTACAAGTATTTACAAGCACCTTTGAGAGCACTGGAAATGACATCTCCCCGAGAATGTTTTGGTTCGACATAGTTAAGTTTTGCTAGAAACCTGAAAATCATTAGAGATGTCAGTATGACCACATTTGTCTGGAAGTTTATGTTTTATATGACCACGAACCCTAGTTTTTTAGAATATTAGACTCTGAACAGACAACATGGCTTTTCTGGATCTGCTGATGCAGCTTGAGAAGAATATTCGTGGAATTGCTTTTTCTGGAGGCTGGTTTAAACTGATAATTGATGGACCATCGGGGTTTTCTGCACTAAGTGGTACATCTCGCTCTGGACCAAGTCAAAAGCGTGGGCCTGGTAGGCGGAGCAAGAAACAATATGCATCATCTGAATCTGCAGTTGTGTCATCAGAGGATAGTGGAAAAGATGTGCAATGGTGGCGTGGGGGGAAGTTCTCTGAGGTTATTCTTCAGAATGGGACTCTTCCAAGTTCTCTGGTCAGAAAAGCTGCTCGTCAAGGTAAAATTTACCCTATAAAGTTTCTCAGATTCTTTTTCCCCACACAATTCCCTACTGGTTCTTTAAAAAGGCTGCTGATTGCTGGTGAAACTTTTGCATCATGTTAGGTGGTTTTCGAAGGATACCTGGTATTTGCTATCCTGAAAGTGTTGATCTTCCTAGAAGAAGCCGGCAGCTTGCTTGGAGAGCTGCTGTTCAAATGTGCAAAAATGCATCTCAGCTTGCTCTTCAGGTTAGTTCAGTACCATATTATCATGCAAAAGCTGTTGTCCATTTGCAGATTCCTTTTTTGCTAATCAATTAATTTATTATTTGGGATTCATCAGGTCAGATACCTTGACTCCCATATTAGGTGGAGAGACCTTGTTCCTCCTGAGCAAACCTCTGTGGATGGGAAAGGTTTAGATGGTGATGCTTTGGCTTTTAGAAATGCAGTCATATGTGATAAAAGGGTTGCTGAGCATAAGATGATGTATGCTCTTACCTTTTCAAATCAGAAGCATATCCCTTTACGTGTAATGAAAAATGTTTTGGAAAAAGAAACTATCAATAACGAGTATAGTAAATTGTGGTTTTCTGAAAATCATATCCCATTATACTTGATAAAGGAATATGAAGAGAAAATTGGTGGGAAACCATTGTCTGGTTCAATGACATTAGGCTCAAATGTTCAGCCAAAGTTTCGGAAAAAGCAAGTAAAATCTCGAAGGGGAGATATTTTTTCTTATCTGGCGCACAAGGGGGACAAACCTAGCAGCACTTCTTGTGCATCATGCAAAGAAGATGTCATTTTGAGGTATTGTCGAATTAACATTTGAATTTATTCACCGATCAATTAAAACAAATTATCTAACTGCTAACTTACTTTTTGTTGTTTTTTTCAATTGTAATTAAGGGATGCTACAACATGCAGCATTTGTCAAGGTATGGAAGTGCTCACACTGTATGCCAGCTGCACTTTCTGTTTGGTTATTAGAATTTTCAACTAACTGGGATTTGCTCCTTGTGAAATTACAGGTAAATGTCATAAGGATTGTGCAATACCTTTGATTGAAAGAAAGGGAACCAATTTAGCATACAATATCACATGCAAAATATGTTACCATGCTAAAACTGCGGCTCTGAACGCAAGTCGTAAGGAGATCCTCAACAGTCAGCTTCCTTTACGAAGGCAAGATCAGCTGATGTCTGGGAACAAATTCATGCCTCAGATGACAGCTCCTTGCTCTTCAGGATCCACTGGTAAGGCTGAGGTTCAAGGAACAAGATCATCTAAGTTAGAAGGCAACAATAAACGTCGGACATGCCTTTCATATGGTCTCATATGGAAGCGGAAAAAGGGTGATGATTCGGGCAAGAATTTTAGATTAGAAAATATTATTTTGAAATGTAAGGAGGGAATAAATCCGCCGAGGAATCCTACTTGCTGCCTTTGCAATTCTCCTTACCATTCCAACCTGATGTATATCCGATGTGAAAAATGCCTAAGTAAGTGTACAGTTGATACTTCAATCTACCTCTTTCTCAAACTATCTTCATTGAGCTCCCATACTTATCTTTTGTTTGCAGATTGGTACCATGCAGATGCTTTGGAACTTGAGGAAGCCCAAATCTTTGATTTAGTTGGGTTCAAATGCTGCAGGTGTCGAAGAAAAGCCTCACCAAAATGCCCATATCTTAAAACAGATTCTAAGAAGTTGGAGCCAGAACATATTGACAAGCCAAACACACTTGAAGGGTCCATGTCAGATCTTCCTTTATTAACACATTCATCTAACCCGGTGTCACATACGGCGGATGGAGATATGGTTGTGGTGAATGGTGATCCTCTGCTTCATTCTCTTGGAGTAGTTGAGCCACTTCCAGTTCAAACACTGGAGACTGGGGCTCAAAGCCAGCAAAAGTTGTCTGTCAGAAGGCCTCACTTACTACATGCAACTGATTTGTGTTTTGAGAGCCAGTCTCCTGAAAGAAATGATATATCACATGAAATAGATGACTATGATTTCTCTATGACAAACGATGAGATTTTTGCAAATTCTTCTGACATGGTATCATCATACGACTTGCAAGAAAGTGGTGGATGTGCAGCTGTTTCTGTTGATGATGCTGACTGTGTCTACCAGTGGCCTGATCAAATGTGTGGAAGCATCGAGGACGCAGAGTATGAACCACAGACCTACTTCTCATTCACGGAGCTGTTGGCATCTGACGATGACCAACTACATGTATCTGATAACAACATGAATGCAGTAGAGATTGGATTCTCATCAAGTTGTGGCGAGGTCAGATCTTTTGAAGCACCTGCTTTTGATGGATTAGGATCAGAAGAGGTGCATTCTACCGGCGAGGAGTTGGTCGTTAAGGAGACTACCTTTAACGGAGTGGCATGTGACATTTGCAAGCTTGCCCATCCATCTCCAGATCTTAGTTGTGAAATATGTGGGCAGCATATCCATTCTCATTGTTCTCCTTGGGTTGAGAGTGAGCAGCCTTCTAGTGATGCGAACTGGAGATGTGGAAGATGTCGAGATTGGCGGTAGTTAAGAGCTGGTTCTGTCTTGATTTCTATATCGCCAGTTCTGTGAACACGGTCAATAAATACACCAGTAAAAGATACAGGACAGGCCGCCAGAAGGGATTCTTCTGGTTGTGAGGTGCTCTCCAACAAAGGTACCAGATAAAACCAGCTTCGATTGCTTATGGAAACACGCAGACCTTTTTTGTGGATTTGATGGAATGGCATGGATGCTACATTTCGAGGATCCTTTTTATGTAGGTTTGGCATAAGCATCCTGTGGGAGTTTGTTTCTATTCAACTTATACTGGTAAGAATTAGTGGCTACATGATAGGTGAGCATGTCATGGTGTATATATAAGAGGTTGAAAGAAGGGCTGAGGTGGGAGAGAGGTGGGCGCTTCGTTTTGGTGATACATCTGATTGATTTCCCAGGAGATAGTTCACACATTATCTACGCCATTGCTGAAGGACAAAAAAAGAGAGGAAAAGTTTGGCATCGCATTTTGTGAAATCCATCGTGGATCTGCACAGCGCTTTGACTCGCTGCGGCTGCATGATTCCTTCGGGCGGGTGCAGATGAATTAGGATTTCTGGTGCCCCGTTACTGTTTGTTCAGACTTGTTATAGCTGCATCTGTTCTCCCATTTCTGATTGTACTTTGAAGTTTGAATGAATATCTTGAAAAGAATTGAGCTCAAGGGTACTAATCATTTCTGCTTGAGGTTGAGCCTTTTTAGATTATGGAGAAGAGGGTTGATTCACTGAGAGAGCCTTGTATCTAAAACGTGTGTTTTAGAATAGGGTGCCTTTTTTTAATTTGAACTCAATGGTCAAAATCTGCATTGCTGCGCCCCCACAAATGTAGCCTTATCGTTCATATCTCTCATCCTTGGTTTTAAGTCAAATGATGGTATTATCATTGTTCCTGGAATATGCGAGACAAAAAAGGAAGCACAGCAAAAACACCCTACTCCAGCTTATTGTATGTTAAATCGAGATGTCATTCCCGAATGTTGCCACCGGTTACCTCGTGAGAGTGGGAGAGAGAAATGGTTGTGACCATAAACGAGAACTTTCAGCGGCTGAACGCTATAACAGTAACCGGTGACCATCCACATCACCTGGATGGGTGAGGCTTGAAACCGCCGTCTTGTTGCAATCAGGCAAAAGACGTGCCGAATCAATCATTAGTTAAACTTGCACGATTGGGATCACGCGTACTCGGGGCTTATGGTTGACACAGCAAAGATGCAGCAGGAAGGAAGGAATACTGATGCTGCTGCAATGAAGTACTACTTGCAAATAGAGGAATTAACGTCTGATGAGACCTGAATATTACAGCAATTGTTTCAGCTTCCTAAATAATTTCTCCACAACGGGGAGAAAATTACGGGTCAAACAGTTAGGCGACGTGCTAGTAAGTATAACGTGTATATATATGAGAGCTTTAAAAAGAATTGAATCAGAGACGATGATTCCCCGCAATGCATTGCATGAATCTAGCTGGACGCTACGGGTTTCACCATTGCCATTCTGACGGCTTCCGCATACGTTCTGTGCTGATAGGCCAGCGTCGAGTCGAGCAAGTCCCACAGGGATGTCTTGGGATTCCAGCCTACACTCGAAAACATCATCAACTATACCTCTTACGAGTTCAAGAGGGAACGGATCAACCGTTCAATGTAAATTGGTCATACCAAGTTGTTTATTGATTATGGTCATGTCGGGAATTCGCTTATCGCTGTCGTCGTATCCTTCACCGTAGAACTGCTTAGAACTCACATCGATCGTAGCCGCCTCCAAAGGAGGCTCCCCTGATACTTTTGAATATACCTGCATGGAAGAAGACAAAATAGCATAGGAAAGTTGGGCAAGGATCTCTGCATCTAGCAATGTCAAACGTATATGTATGCGTTCGCCGAGTGCCAACACTCACCTGTACCATGATTTCAGCAAGTTGCTTTATGGTGACTTCATTGTTAGGATTTCCGACATTAAATATGTGGCCATTAGCTCGAGCAGGATTTTCCTGAGAGAGAAGAGAACAGTTTTATTTGTTTCGTTGCAAATGGTAAGAAAGAGACACAAAAGAAGAGAGAGATCGATACAGACAATCATCAGGAGAACAGCTTCTATGGCATCCTTGATGTAGACAAATGTCCTTTGGGATTGGCCACCGTCGACAAGTTTTAGAGGCTCACGGCGCAGGAGATTCTGCATCACATTAAGACAAAAAAAAAAAGAGAAGAAGCAACGGAAATTATGATACATAAGAGAAATATTTTCTGATGCAACATAAGAGAAATTATGATACATACATTGCTGAAGCATGCCAAAACCCTAGGAACACCCTCGCTAGGACCATCAATTCCAGGAATGAAGTCCATCCTTGGTCCAATCCAATTGAAAGGTCTCACGATGGTGAACTCGAGGCCATTTTCCGCACCCTCAGCTTTAGATGGTCCAAATAAAATGTAAGAACAGGGAATAGCATAGTTTTGTTGCATCCAAACAGACATGTAAGTAAACACACCATAAATCAGTCTCTCGATAAGTTGCTTGGCACACGCATAAGACCATCTCTGCTTCTCGACCGAACCAAAAATGCATGGTGAAGCATCTTCTTTTAGCACATAGAATTCTGATTCCTTTACGATCATGCAATTTCTGGTTACGGGAATGAAAAGAAGAAACAACACTAGTACAACATAGACATGACTTATCATGTAGAAGAGAACTCGATCGGAACATCCATGTCTGATAACCATGAAGAACCAATTGTTTCCTTAAGCAGGTAGGTTACTAATAAAAATGACCAGATATAAAAATCATGAAACAAAGTCATCAAGAGAGTTAATTTCAAGCCACAATTTTTGTCTCTTTAAAGCACATTTAGTCCAACTACATTGGAGCTTTGAAAACAGCGGTTCAGTGCACATAAATCTATTGCAAATTATAATGCTCCTTGCATAGTTCATTATCTTTAAGCCTCAAAAATGATATTAAAGTGATGATTCATGATGAAGAATAAACACAGGATGACTAAACATACGTGAGACTAAGGGTCACCACATCCTCCAAACATGTATAATGTATTCCACTGCTATGAACCTATTAGGCAATGTATAAGTACAAAAATTCAGGGAACATATCATGGCTTGTGCTCAACATTGCGACCAAGGGAGACATACCACACAGCTCACTTTTGAGAGAGGACATAGCAAAAGTAGCTACTGGTGTGAATGATGCATAGTTAACATAGTTAACTCATTTTTAACATTGTAATAAAATTGTAAGAAATATCAGTTTATTCCGATTTATTAGCACATTTGATCCAATAATTCTGTGGTTCTCATAACTATACAGAATGAAGTATGCAATCACGGTTAATAAAATATCATATTACACGTATATATTATGTTGTAGTCATGTATAATCTCACCTCAGCGAAAGATTATCTGATTATTTTCTATGTTTTATGCCATTCTAAATGTCAATGAAATTATGAGCTAAAAAGAAGACACCTTTGTGTCATTACTGTTTGGTTACGGTGTATAATGCCTTAGTTTCAGGTAGAACATGAAGTCATTTTGATGCAAAAGCGAACATTACCCACAGGTGGTTAGATCAGAAGTATTTTGAACGCAATCAAATTGTGATCATTTAATCTAATTAGACAGATCCTCATGAGCATTCACATAATCATCTGTTCGTTTAGATGCAGGAAGTCAAAGGGACGCAACAGGCACCTTTCTCAGAGGATGATCCTTTGGCAGGTAGCTCCCTAGTGTTTTCCCATACACTTCACAGGTGGAGAAATGAATGAGGCGCTTGTTGTTCTCCGAACAATACCTGACCTGCACAGCCACGTCCCCAAGATTTCACACAGATGAAGAAAGAGGTGCAGGAAAGCCAAAAAAGAAGAGGAGGGCAGGTAACCCCGAAACATACAACTGGGAGAGCGTCAATGAAATTGCTGTAGATGGTGTCTAATGGACGGGTGTTGTAATCCGCCGGGGTGCAGATTGCCGCCAGATTGATCGTCTGTAAAGCGAACAGCTATCAGAATTCCTTGTGAGACAAGAAAACGAGATAACAGACGCAGAGCCGCTCAATCCATTACACGACGGTTCACCAAGAAAGCAAAAAGTTGCTGCGAATCGAAAGAAAAGATGCGTAGAAGAAAGCAGAGAGACTGTAAAAGAAAATGCCGATCCGCAAGAATCATATAGAACGGAGTGCCAGAGATCCGAAGAAAGATTAGGGGCGTGGCGGTTGGCGGCGGGGGGGGGAGGACGAACCACATCGGACATCTTGATGAGACCCTCGAGCCTGGAGTCGTGCTTGATGTTGAGGCGGTGGAACTCGATGCGGCCGTCCCAGGGGTTGCGGGCCTGCTGCCCGCCGTCCGCGGGCGGCGGCGGCGGCGGGGGGTCGAGGAGGTGCTTAATCTTGTCGTTGTAGACGTCCACGGCCAGCACCGTGTGCGGCGTCTCGGCCATCAGCTTCTCGCAGAGGTGGGATCCGATGAACCCCCCGGCCCCGATCAAGCAGATCGTCATCGGCTTGATCGGGTTGCCGTCGAGATCCAGCCTCGCAGCCGCTGCCATCGTCGGGTCCCCTCAACAGCCTCGCTCTCAATCTGCGCAAGGGATTCGAACAAGAAGAAGAAAGAATCGACGAGAGGAAGAGCGGAGGGAGTGGAAGTTTTGGGGAGGCCACAAGAGGAGAGGGGGCAGTTTAAATACCCACCGCTGTTGCGGTGTTAGGGATGGACGTAAAAGTCGGTGCTTCCCCAACTGCCTCTCACAAACATCAACAAAAAGGTTTATTTGGACAATCATTTATTTTTTATGTGTATGATCCTTAAAAATTAAAATATGAATTGAATGATTAGTGAGGGCATATTTTTCATTTTTATTATTTATTAAATATATCAACGAATTATCCTCTAATTTTTATTAAAAAATAGAGGAAATTTGAGGCCATTTTAATTATATAATTCTATAATTTTAAAGCGGAAAACATATTAGAGAAAAAAGAGAAACGAGGAAAATTGTCCGAATTCTATAAACAAATAAATAAAATGAATTTTTAATGAATAGATGCACTCTGAATCCAAGTGATCTCCTCTACTACTGCATGGCGGAGACATAGTTGGAATCCAAATGATGTATCAGTAGAGACGAAGGATGTGATACATATTCTCTTTCTTAAACATAAGATGAAGAAATATAATATGCCATCTTAGCTTCAACAAGAACAAAGACGGAGAAGATGGCATAATCCCAAGGAGAAGTCCACAGAGCAGTGAATTCAAAAGCCTAACATCCTTTTTACCGGGGCAGAAAAAGCCTAACATCCTTTGGGGTAAAGCTAGAAGACGATCAGAGGTTATCACGGAAGGGGAAGGTGTGAAGCAGAGAACAGATATAAATCAAAGTAAATGCATGCCTCTTTCGAGTGTTTTGACTGTCAAAGGCTGCCATAAGTGCAAGCTGTAGAATCTTTTTCTGGGCCTCCTCGAAGCCACACAGCACATTTGCCTTGAATTCCTGACACGGGTAAAGATGCTTCTGTGGAACTCGAGTGCAGTGAGTTATGAGAGTCATATGCACGGAACAACAAAATAAGGTGGCTATCTCAGCACGTTCGACTGAGGAGCTACCTATATCTCTTCTTTAACTTGTAGAAGCCCAGCTACAGAGAAGAAATCCAAGGTTTATGCTGTAAACAAGCTGTAAATGTTTCTTGATGGTGTTTGAATGATACATCACATCACATTGGTGGAGAGGAGGAAAAGACGGCAGGAGAAACTAAAGTACAAAAATTAAGATCCCATTTGATGCCGAAGCTTGAGTAAGCCATGAGTACTTCCATCTCCTC